GTCCATTTTACTTCCCCTTGCTAGGGGTGGGACCAGGGTGCAAAAATGTACCCTAGCCTGAATTTCACTTCCCCCCTTTTTTTCTTTTGAGGCAAGGTTTCTCTGGATAGCCTTGGCTGTTCTAGAACGAGCTCTGTACATCAGGCTAGCCTCACACTCAGAGATCCTCCTTCCCCTGCCTCCTGAGTGCTGGGATTAAAGGTGTGTGCCACCACCCAGCTGGTCTCATTTTCTTTTGAGGCCTGCTGGCTCTTCCCCTCTGCATGTGTCCATCCAACCTGTTGATAGATGCTTTCCTGTCTTGCTGGTCTAGAAGGCAGCATAGTCTAACCAATTTCTTGTCTCTACAGATAACTTGGGTTTCTTGCCTTGTGTTCTCTCCAGCCTTTTCTGTTTTGAGACAGGTATCCTTCTGTAGCCAGGCTGGCCTTGAACTCATAACAACCATCTTGCCTTATCCTTCTGAACATGGAGATTATAGGTGTGATCTTCCACTTGTTTCATTTTTCCTGAAGGGGCTGGTGAGGTCTGAAGGCAGAGCGGGCAGAGTAGCAGAGTGGGGTGACACTTCTATGAGTTAAGTAATGGGGAAACTAAGCCCGGGGAAGCTGGGCCTCCTTGTTGACTCCCAGGAGGGCTCCAGCCACAAAGCCTGGGAGTGCCTACTTGGTACTCAGTCTGGGTGGGAGCTGTCTCTCCCTAAGCCAGGCTGAGACAGCATTACAGGTAGAGATCTGAGTTCAGAGGCTGCCTGACTCCTGATTGTTGTGCTCCTCACTGCACCAGGGACACATAGTTAGAAATAAAAATAGAGAGCATTTATTAAGAAAGGACAACAGCTGAGCATGGTGGCACACACCTTTAATCCCAGCACTTGGCAGACAGAGGCAGATGGATCTTGGAGTTTGAGGCCTGCCTGGTCTACAGATCAAGGAGTTCCAGGACAGCAGGACCAGTGAGAAAGGACAAGTATATGATCCCAAAAGACCAATTCTCTTCAGCAAACTGGCCCAAGCATGCCCTGCTCATTGTGTGATGCCTGGGTAGGGAAGTGTTTCCAGTCTTTGTCGCCTGGGTTTTTTTTTTTTTTTTCTAGTATGTTAATTTTTTTAAAACAGGATTTATTTTTATATGTGTCTGAGTGCTTTTTGCTTGCATATATGCCTATCTACTAGGTACGTGTCATGTCTGGTACCCATAGAGACCCAAAGAAAGCTCCAGATTCCCTGGAATTGGAGCTAGAGAGAGTTATGTGCTACCATGTGGGTGCTGGGAATTAAACTAGTCCTTTGCAGCATGCATCTGTGAGAATTGGAATGCAGGGTGGCCTCTGGCAGGGGCAGAATTCAGATAGGCTAACTAAGGGAGGCAGAGGATGGGGATTCAGTTGGGTGGCAGTGAAGCTTGCTTGCTGACTGGTATGTGCTGATTTTGAATGGACGGGCATCCTAGGGAGCAGGTACAAACCCCAGTCAGGCTCACCGAACCTGAGTCCTTCCTGTCTCCTGTTCTGGCTCTACTCTGGCCTCGTGGCTGTTTCTTGGTAGGTTCCCATGGCTCTGGAGCTGGACCAAATATGATCTACCAGTTGTAAATCTCCATGAGGGCAGGGATGGAGGCAGGTGTTAAATGCCACTGCTCTATACAGGGGAAAAAAAAAATCTGTGTGAGATAGCTATGGGAAGGATATGTCCTTCCAAGTGCATATGTTGAAGTCCTAAGTGTGACTGTATTTGGAGATGGCACCTTCAAAGAGGTGACTAAAGTTCAGTGCAGTCATTAGACCAGGAGGCATAAACCAATGTAACTATGTATTTATAAGAGGAGGAAATCAGGGTGAAGATGGCAATCTTCAAACCAAGAACATCTCCTCCACACCTGGATCTTGGTCTTGCAGAACAAATGTCCACTGTTCAGCCAGCTGTGACCCTTTGCTGGGGAACCACAGAAGGGAAGTGCATGGGCCAAGAATTTCTATGGAGCTGTCTGATACAGAGGTAGGGAGGCGTCCTCCAGGGACAAATCCCACAACTGCCCAGACAGTAGGTTGTGGATGTCACTCTATCTATCTGCCTATAGTGAAGCCTGCCCTCTTCTTCCCTTCCTGTCCCAGAGCTGTGAGATTGCCACTGGTAGGGAGGGAACTGCAGTAGCCCAGAGAGAGTTCAGGAGCTTGAGTTGAGGGGGCAGGGAGTGATGTTTAGATAGAGCCATGGGGTCCAGAGGAACATCAGATAGAGACAGCAACAGATTGTTGGTGATGGGATTAAGCAAGAAGTAGTAAGAGTCAGTCAGTCAGTCAGTAAGTAAGAAAACCAAGTCAGGCAAAAAAAAAAAAAAAAAAAAAAAAAAAAAAAAGAAAAGAAAAAAATAAGCCAGGCAGTGGTAGCAACACACCTTTAATCTCAGCACTCTGGAGGCATGGACAGGTAGATCTCTGAAGTTGAGGCCAGCCTTGTCTATAGAGGGACTTCCAGGTTAGCTAGGGCTACACAGATAAACCCTATCTTGAAAAAACAAACAAACAATCAATCAATCAAATAAACAAAAACCCTGAAAAACAGTATGTGCAGTTACTGGAGAAGTGAACAGCATGAGCTGCTGGGCTCTGAGGACAGTGCTGGGCTTTATGTACCTGGTGCCATGGTGTCCTGACTTCCTGCATATAGAAACAACCGCAACTGTACATGAAGAACCACTAGTCTGTACACCAGGCTACCAGGAGCATTGGAGGTTGGGTTCTACTTAAGCTACAGCCTCGCAGCCTGCTGCTGGCTCTGGTGTGCCTTGCTTATATCCTGAGAGTTAGCTAGTGTCAGAGAATGAAGCTTCCAGGAATCAAATCCTTAGCTGTGTTTGGAAGGAGGGACTTCAGATCCTTCACATTCTAGCTCCTTTTCAACAGTCAGAGAAGCAAGCACAGGGGTTGGGAGGTACCTGTGTGTACATGTACACGTGTGTGGGGGTTCAAGCAGGGAAATGAGGAAGGAGGGCGCCTGTGCATGAATCACTGCTGCCATCTTGTGGTCACAATGGGACACTTACTGAAGCCAGGCCACACAAGTCAAAAGCAGGACAGCCTTCCAGCTATCATGGAGGGGTGCAGGGGTTTCTCGAAATGCTGGCCTGGTGGCAGAGGTAGAACTAGGCCCTGTGGCCAGCCCCCACTTACTCCTATTGCAGGGATCAAGTCAGATGTGGCCATCCTTGTAAGGGGCATCCAAGATGGGGAGGAGAGACTGGCCTGCCCTCTAGGTCTCCAGCAGTTGTCCTGAATGGACACACACGGGGAGCTGGGAAGCAACGCTACAGGCTGTGCTGAAGAACCAGAACAACAGTGCTCCAAGCCATGTTGCTGCCAATTGACCACCGGAGGTCTGCAAGCCTAGTTTCCTGTCAGCATTCCCTCTCCAGTGCTGTCTATGGTTTCCAGGCACAGAACCCTGTAGCCTTGCTCTGTCTTGGTGGAAATCTGGGGATTGATTGATTGATCCCCAATTCCCAGTTACTGTAATGGCCCCTTTATCACAGATCTAATCTTTATCGTCCCTTCCCTTCAACAAGTCCCCAGGCAGGAATATCCAACACATCCTCATATGTATCTCCTGCACTGAATACCATGCCTGCCCTACAACTAGCACTCAGACAATATCGAACCCTGGTAATAATACTCAAGATAGTAGCTGTAGCTATTGGTAGGGCCCTCGGCTTCTGGAGTGGTCTGTGGAAACTTCCCTGAGCTTTCTAGTTTATACAGGAAAGCAGCAGCCTTGGCTTTGATCATTACAAAGCGGCTTCAGATATGGAGAGAACGAAGGAAGCAGGCAGAGGAGTGGGCTGCGGTCCCTCTCCCTTGTGACTTGTTAACTGGTCAAACAAGATCCTGCTTATCTACCTGTAAAGGATGCTGAGGGACCAGGTCATAGGCAGATAGACAGGCTTGGCCTGGACATGTACTCAGCCCTTGCCCTGCTTAAATAGAACATCCAGGGCAAATGCAGACTATCCAACTGTCCCTAGAGGGCTGGGCCAGATTTCAAGAGCGCAGTAATCAGTGTGCTGATTACTGTTAGCCTTCTGCCCTCTTGCTGCTAAGGACTGGGCCAGCAGGCACCTACAGCTCAGAACAAGGCCTCTTGAGGGCAGTGTAGAACCAGGAAATGTCTGGATGCCTATATACCTGATGTATATACATCATGGCCCAGTGCAGACAGTGCAGAGTACCTGGGCCATGGCTGACACCAGCATTCTCCCTGTGACCTGCTGCCCCAACATGCCAACATTGTGCACCAATGTGCTACTGTTGTGGAATGGGCAGAAGCACTGGGTAGCAGTGGGTGAAGGGACCTGAAGAAGCCGATGCTGTCCTGTGCAGAGGAGATGGAAGCCGAATTTGTGTGGTGTCAGTATGGTTGTGCCCCACCCTACTGGGCTGTGAGTGGTCTACAGACAATGCAACATGTACAGATGCCTACCTCTCAGTCGGCCTCTAGCTCAAAGTAGGTCCTGCACCCCACATGGTTAAACTGCTTCCTGCCAGAAGCACATCACACTGGCAGGTGGCTTTCTACTTTTATTTAGGGACACAAAAGGCACCTCTCCCTATACCTGAGGACTAACCAACAGGTGAGCCCCGGGTGGGTGGGGCCCTGCTGGAAGAACAGAGCAAAGGTGGGGGAAAGGCAGTGGAGGGGCTGGGGGCTCTGGGTGCACAACCCCAAGATCTCATCATGAAACCTGGATTGGTGAGGTCTTGCCTCACTGGGTGTAGCTTCGTACCTGGACAGTGAGCAGATCAGCAGGGGCCACCATAGCCCACCCCAACAGCCAGCCGAAGCCTTTTTCAGGCCCTGCTCTGCAGGGGCAGGAATGGGGGAGGCTACAGTAACGTCTGTTAGACATAACACCTAGACAAGAAGTATGGATTGTGGAGGGCTCCCGCGGGATTCCCTGGGAAGGAACCAGGGGAATTTCATGGAAGCAGCCTTACACCAGGTCAGTCAGGTCACATCAGGTCAGCTTGTCTGGGGCCTAAGATCTCAGCAAAGTCATAATGGTAGCAGGACGGAGAAGGAGGGCTGACCCATTTCCCCAGTTCATCCTACTTGCCGCCCAGGCTCCAAGAGAAGTGGGGTAACAAAACACCCCCAAGCAGCCTTAACACCAAGGGAGGGAGGGATCCCAGTGGGTATGACAGTGCCAGGCCCTTGGCTGCAGGGTGCCAGACCCTGCATTCATAAGGCAAACAGCATATCATCATCTTTCTCCTGGGTCTTCCTCCGAGGAGCTGTGCCAGGAGAAGGTCCCAGGGATCCCTCAGCTGAAGGGCTGGCCAGGTTGGGCAGTCGATCGGCAGCTTTGGCCCGTTCTTCCAGGAATTTGTCAAATTCTAGTGGGAAAGAGTAGGCTTGTAGGCTAGAGCTGGGGAGGGACAGGCTATTATTTTCAGGGGAGCTGTAGGGAGGTGGGATGATCTGTTACCTTCACTGGTGACACCAGAAGGCTCCTCAGCACTGCTCCCCTGAGAATGCAGAGGGAAAGACAGAGGTTAGTACTGCTGGGAGTACACACAACCTGCCACACAGTGGGCAAGGGCAGGCCTGTGGGACCAGGACCAGCACTGATGTTGTGCTTAAGTTGACCCTGGAGTTAGGACATAGGTCTTGGTTCACTCCTTCCTGAGCTACAGGGCTCCATGTTGTTCCAATTTCTCTGAGACATGACTTGTTTCTCCTTTGAAACAGGGAGGCTGGGATGAAGAGATGCCTTAGCAGTTAAGAGCTCATACTGTTCCCACGGAGGACCAGAGTTCAGTTCCTAGCATATACCAGGCAACTCATAACAGCCTATAACACTAGTTCAGGGGAGCCAATGCCCTCTTTTGGCTTCTGTTGGCACTGTACTCACATGAACACACACCCACAATTAAAACATAAATTTAGGGCCGGCGAGATTGCTCAGTGGTTAAGAGAACTTTTTGCTATTGTAAAGGACCTGGGTTTTGTTCCTAGCACTTATGGCAGTTCACAACCAATTTTAACTCTATTTCCAAGGGATCTGTTCAGGTACCAGGTATGCATGTGATGCACATATATGCATGCAGGTAAAACATTCATACATATAAAAATAAATCTTAAAAAAATTAAATCTTTTTATGTCAAGAAACAGGGAAGATGGGGCTGGGTGTGGTGGTGCACACTTTTAATCCCAGTGCTTGGGAGGCAGAGGCAAGAGGATCTCTGTGAGTTCAAGTCCAGCCTGGTCTACAGAGAAAGTTCCAGGACAGCCAGTACTACATAGAAAGATAGAGAGACCCTATCTCAAAACACACACACACACACACACACACACACACACACACACACACACACACACACACACACACGAAGGAAGGAAGGAAGGAAAGAAGGAAGGAAGGAAGGAAGGAAGGAAGGAAGGAAGGAAAAAAGAAGAAATTGTAGTCAAGGCTAAATTGGTGGGTGTTGGAGGCTAAGCACAAGACATCAAGCCCAGGTATGGTACCCAGCAGCACATTCCTTTCCTCCAGGATCCAGGGACTGCCTAGCTCCATGGATGGAAGCCTGTTTGCACTAAAGCTGTGCTCAAGTCTGGCTGGAGGTAAGCTATAATCCATTAACTAACCAAACATGTGGGACATGGGGATGGAAAATGAGGTTTCTGCCTCTGTTAGTAAGCCTGAGTCCTGCCTAGTTCTTGGCCTGATTTGGGTAGAACCTAAGTCTTGCTGCTCATGGGTGGTGGCCTTTGTAAGGAAAGTGCCCAAGATGTCTCTGGGTCTTTAATGCCCACAGAGGTGGTGGCACAAGGTAGAGGAGAAGCCCTGATGCCAGGCTCAGAACTTCATGCCCCTTTAGAAAGTGGGGGCTAGGAGGTGGGTCCCTTGCAGTTATCAGCCTTTTCATAGGAAATAGGGTGATGATGATGCCTCCCTTTGAGAAGCTTCAGGTCTCCAGGGTCTATTGTGGGAATACAGTTTATAGACTTTCTTGATTTATAATTAATACCATCTCCCAAATGATAGCTGACACATACAGGGACTTCACATTAGAAGTGTGATCTGGGACAGGGAGGAGGGTGGGTGACCAGATGAAGACATTTATATTTATCTCTCTTCACCAGTCATTTACCAGCCCCCCCACCCCACCCCACATGACAAATGGATCCCTGCTTGTAGGCATGGAGTGAGCCCCAACTTACCACATCTGTAGACAGCCACTGCTCAATGTCCTCCATGATGCGGGCCTGGGTGGCGGGGATCTGGAAGGAAGGTAGTAGTGAGGTAGGTAGGGGCAGTGGTCTAGGTGTCAAGAAGGAAATCCTTGAAATTCACTCACCCACCCCTCTGCCTCCTGCTGAGGTACACATCCTGAGATTACCTGGTCTAGCTTCTCAGGACCATTTGTATAGTGGTGCTAGGCTGTGGGTGAGCCAGGCTGTGGATAAAGGGATACAGACCCAGAAGAATACAGGGACTGTGCTCCCAACAGCTAGAGTAGCGAGGGGCAAACAGGAGATATTCCCCAATGCAGAGAATGCACATCTGATCCTGGACAGGGACAACCCTGGTCACATGTTCTTAGGGCAATGCCAGGAATCCATGTCTCTTGGCACCTTGGCACTTTCAGTTAATGGCACAAGTACAAACAGTAGGCTCCAAGAGAAAGGAGGTGCTAAGTGTTCAAAAAATCCCAGACTGGGACACTTTCTAGATGGGGACATTTGGCTCTGGGTCCAAACACATGGGCTCTTACAAGATGGCTCCTAAAAGGAACAGGGGCTAGGGTCTTCCTCTGTTAACAGTTTCCACAGTGTCAATCTGGTTGGAGGTCATGAGCACAGACATGATCTGCTATGGCTCTTGGAGTGACTCCTGGCATCCTACAAAATGTCCTTGTACTTGTCTTCTTCACCTGACAACATGACTGCCATCCAGTGTGTTCTCAGGAGGTAAAGCCAGTAGATAGCCTGTACAGAGGAAAGAAGCCTGGGAACTCTTAAGTTCCTGTTTGGCAGCTGTTGGACAGAGGAGCGCTAAAGTTTCTGACCAAACCAGTTTAGGGCCCAAGCTTATCACCTAGTACAGGGAAGAGGCAGAGACAGCTTTCCAGGGGGAGGTGCTCTGGCAGGCCAGGCCTGCCCAGCTAACTGCTGCCTATTGACTGCTGGAGGAAGGAGTGGTTGAATCTGAGCCTCCTCTCTTGGGGATGCCTTGGGTCATGTTCCACAGTACCAATTCCGTGGCCTGGTCCCTGCTCATATGCTTTGCCTGACCACTACCATCTCTCATCTCAGGCAAAGAGCCGCATCAGGGTGGTAGGCAGGAGGGCTGAGTTCAGGGCCAGTGGTGGGTGGTAGCTTCTTCCACTTAGATGTTCACGTGCACATATGTGACTGTGTGTAAGTATGTGCATACTCAGGAATGACAGCAGAGCCAAGGGGATGAAGGGAGCCACCCAGGGTGCCTCACTACAGGATAACCATGATGAGAGGAGCCCAGAGCTGCTAGGCTGGAGTAATGTGAAGAGCAAATTAAAAACAAGCAAGTCCTCGGCATTCCCATGGAACCCCAAAGGGTGGCCTTCACACTTTAAGCTGAACAACAGCATCACCTGTCAGCCAGACTGGTGACTGCCAAAGGCTTCTGAGGGGCACCCAAGTTTCAGAAAGGCTACTTTATCCACTGGCTTCATAGTTACCAACAGCAAAGAAGAACTTTTTAGGTTCCAGAGCGGGTGGGTGGTGGAGGGGCTCCAATCCAAAATTCATTGACCTCCCTATACATTCTACACAGATCAGTGTAGGGCAGGCCCACTGCTGGACCCTAGGGAGTGAAGGAAGAAAATCTGGCCCTTGGTGCAACAATGTACACACACAAGTTGTGAGTTCTGTTGAGTCATGGACAAAGGCACTGCCCACCAGCTCCATTTTGAACTTTGATCTTGCAGTCTCATCCAAGTGGTCAGTGAATTATGTAACCTTGCCTCTAGTCAGACATAAGCCCATGGGAGTGGGTGCTGGCTTGGTCTTCAAAAATTGTATCCAACAGATGACTGCCCAAGCAAAGGGGAAAGGGAGTGACCGCATGGTCACACTTGTCAGTGAATGGAGCTGTGCATGTGTTTCCCACTGTGGGCTACAGCAAGGTGCTGTGGGGGGCCCCATCTTTGGGAGTAGACTATGTGGTGACTCCCACAAGAAAAACACGAGGGCTTAGCATAGGGCCAAACACAGAGCAGAGGCTCAAAAAGTGACAGCTCAAAAGCATGCATAGGTACCAAGGCCCAGGGCAGGTGTGCTCTGCCTAAGAGAACCTTGGACTCCATCAATCCTGTCTGCTCCAGCGTTTTGTGCCTGTTCTGCTCTGACTTGAAACTGACCCCAAGCAAAGAGCTAGAAAGCACAGGAGTGCAGATGGAGAGTTTCTGGGAATCACCAGATTTGAGCAAGACCTCCCAATGAAACTCTGGCTTCCTTCTGGAAGTTGAGTGAGGTCTCTTGTGCCCAAGGCCTTCAAATGGCTTTTACCTCACCTACGACAATGTTCACGGTCCTAACCACTCAGAGATCTTGTCACCCGGGAAGGTGACCACAAAATGCTCAAGTGGGCATGTGGCTAACACTTAACACACAATCAAAAGATTAATTGGACTTAAAAAGAGTTCCTGGGAGCCTGGGCAGTGGTAGTACACACCTTTAATCCCAGCACTCTGGGAGGAAGAGGCTGGTGGATGTATCTCTGTGAGTTTGAGGCTAGCCACAGCTACTCAGAGAAACCCTGTCTCAGAAGACAAACAAATAAAAAAACAAGTGCCTGGGAACTCTGACCATTGCTCCAGGGTTTCCATTTTATTCCCCTTTGCTCACACTCCTGCTAGTGAGAGTGCTGTTCTCTCACTGACTGCTCTGAACTATTACTGCTGTTAAAAGTTCAGGGAAAGAGATGAAACAGGGCTAGGGTTACTTTGCCTGATGACCCAAGGCTGGCAGGGGAAAAAGTAGGACATAAACATAGGACCCCAGTTCCTGAGGCAGGATTGGGTTGGAATCATTGGTGAGTGAGTGCCTTCTTGGCTCTCAAGTGGGAATAATCACATTGGCCACAAAGGACCAACTGAGAGCCAAATGGGAAGGGGCTGTGCCCAGCCCATTTTGAGCTCACAGTGGGCTCATAGTCTCTGCTTTTTGGGAGCTCCAGGTAGAACGGGATCTATGCTTACCGCTCCAGTGTTCTGCTGCCGGGCATCCAGGGCCCCAGCCAGGCCATCTGTGGTTTGGGGAGCTTCATATTTGACCCTGAAATACAGAGAAGCATGGCATCAGATGCTGCCTGACCACATCAGGTCTCATAAACAATGTGAGGATTGAGAGGAGTGGGTGAGCCAGAGTTGGGCTGGCCTGAGCAGGAGTTGCTCAAGTCACAGGATGGCCTGACCTGAGGCTCCTCTTCAAGCCTGGGACAGGAAAAAAGGAGCTCCATTTTCTGCTGGTGGGGATTATGCTCAGATACGTGCCCCATAATGACATGCATCAACCAAGCATGAGAATCTAGGGATGGCATGTGACCAAAGATCAGAAACAAGATCACATATGGCTGTGACCATACTGGGCTAAGTTGAGAGACTAGGAAATAGATTGTGGACTCATGACCATGGAGAATTTGTTAGCAGTTCCCATCTGAATTTCATCAATTGTGCATTTGAATGGAGGAGTCCCTTCTACTGCCAAAATGAGAGTGCAAGCTGCTGAGGGCCCATCTAACGTTGGTTTGCCATCAGAAAGGCTCCCTACTTCTCAGATGAACTGGTTACAGCTCTTCTACATGTCCCCAAAGAAAGGCCAATCACCCAGGCAGGTGGAAGGCTAGGAGTGGGAGGGGTGGGGCTAGCACTTGGCTGCTGGAAGATGAGGAGAGGGAAGAAGTATGTGGTATGAATGAAATATGGCCTCAGGGGAGTAAGAGGCCATCCTGGAGTGGGGGGAAGGCTGGGAGGGTAAGGAAACTATCTGTGCAGAAAAGGTCATCCAGGTGACCAGATGGAGGGTTCTATCAGAGCACAAGGGTGAGCGAGCTAGGCAAAAGAACAAAGGCACAAGGACCACATAGTAGGGTCCAGTCTTGTCTCTGTGGGTGGGGACCAAGCATAGTGAGAGGTGCAGGGAAAACAAAGGCCTAAAAGAGGGCACAGAATGGCTATGCCAGCCAAAGAGAGCATCAGAGATGCAAATCTGCTAGGAAATGCTTCCCCTGTCCCTGTTGCCAACAGAGGAAGAATGTTGTGTATCAGGATCTGCTCCCTTTCTCACATGTATGCCCAGCGAAGGGCCAGATCTTTCACTTTGCTTCCAAGCCTTTGCACATGCTGTTCCTAGGACCTGAACTGCTCCCTGAACCCCTGTCTGGCTTGAGCCCTCTGAAGAACTACCTGCCCTGCCAGCCAAGCACTGCTATGCTATGCACAACAATGGCCATGCATACCACTACATGAAGACTGCTGCCCTGAAGGGCAGGATGTATGTATGCCTTCCCTGTGGAGGGATGATGGTACAACAGTGCATCCCAGCCATGCTGGCAGACCAGTTCAACACTAGGCAGTCTCCAGTGTCCCCAACTGTTTTGTACGCTGGGGCCCATGTGGACAGGCTACACTCCCAGGTGCAGGTCCCACTAGACTCATTAGCTTTCATCTGCATAGCAGCCTCAGCAGCACCCTTAACTCCATGGCAATTGTAAGCTGATAGTTAGAGGCCCTGGCTTTGTGAGTACTGTTTAGGGTAAAGGCAAACCTAGTTCACAGCTCAGTATGGACCTGCTGGTTACAGACTGTCATATTGTACCTGGATCTGCAGTGAGCACAGGGAATCCTCTCTGGCCACTGTCTGCTGTTTAATGACAAAGTTCCCAAAGAGAATAGACACTAAGGAGTCATGTGGGAGCAGTTAGGAGGCTTCTTTAATCTAGAACTTTCCTTGCTTGTAAGAAGCATAGCTGCCCACAGCTCAGCTAAGGGGATCATAAACAAAGGCATAACATACTCCAATGGAGCCAGAGTCTCCTCTGGGGATGAGGGTTGCTCTGGGACAACAGGTCAAGACTTGGAAGTCCCTAAGGCTTTATTAGGGGGCTTCTTTACCCCTAGGGGTTTAGGACTGGCTGCATATTACATAAGACAGTGGCTAGCCAGACACAATGTTTTGGACAAGAGGCTGAATACTCTGAACTTGATGCTGTCAAATGCTAGCCACTTGTCCTGTGGCTTATGGCTAGCCTTGGTTCTGGTTCTGGTCAGATGCGGGCATCCCTTCCTGTATGTGGACTATGGTGCTCTCCAGCTGGACTGAACTTAGGGACTGTGTGTCTTTTTTCTTGTCTGTCCACTTCCAAGATTCCTAGATTCAGGGATCTTGAGTGATGCTCTCACTGATGGAGAGCAGGATGGAACAAGAAACTTACCTTTTTCGTTGGTCAGCCAGTGAGCTGCCCCGAGTCAGAGCAAACATGTCAAAGTCATCTTCCAGGTGACCTGAGGTCTCCAGAGACTGTAGGCCAGCTCTCACACTGCTGGAGCCAAGGTCTGCAGAGACAGAAAGAGCAGGTGAGATATCTACCTGCTCTTCCATGTCCTGTCTGGGTCTAGGGCTGTCTGCTGGGAGAGCACTAGGTGTTAGGTGGTATGAGTTGGGTGTAATCATCTCTAAGGTAGTTGCACAATCACTTTCTCCTGGCTGTGGTGAAGATCAGAGAACAGGAACAATACTGCCTGTAATATCTGCTAGAGGTAGCATTTCTTAGTGTGTGGGCTGCAACCCCTTTGGGGGTTGAATGACACTTTCACAGGGGTCACATATCAGATATTTATATTATGATTCACAACAGTAACACAATTACAGTCATGAAGTAGCAATGAAATAACTGTATGGTTAGAGATCACTACTGTGCTACCGGAAGAGGTTTGACAGCAGGACAGTGATGACATCTGACTTTTCACAAGTGTAGTGTCAGTTACTCAAAGTTGGAGCTGAATGAATTCTTGGAGCTTGGCATGGAGCAGGCAATCAATAACATTACAGTCAATCCCCAGTCCTAGGGGAGACCACGGCTAGCCTAGGTTACAAAGCATGCCCAAGGACAGTTTGGGGACCTTTGTGAGGCCCGTCTCAAAATTAAAGAATTGGGATACAGTTCCATGATAGAGGGCTTGCTTAGCATACTTGAGGCCTTAGACGTAATCCCAAGCATTGCACTGCACTGCACAAAACACCAAAGGAAAAGGAAAAGAGAAAACAAAACAAACAAAAACAAAACAAAACAAAACCCAACAACAAAAAGATCAGGGTGGTAACTGCTCACATTTATCAAGGGTACAGCCAGGTTCACTGACCTATAATCTCAGCATTCAGAGGACTGAGGCAGGAGGATGGAGAAAGTCAAGGCAAACAAACATAGACAGGTTACTAAGCATTTACCAACAACCTGGATTAAGCCAGGTGGTGGCACACACCTTTGGTCCCAGCAATGGGGAGGCAGAGGCAGGCGGATCTCTTTGAGTTCGAAGCCAGCCTGGTCTACAGAGAGTTCCAGGACAGGCAAAGATACACAGAGAAACCCTGTCTTGAAAAACAAACAAACAGATCAAAAGCTACCAAAATCAAATAACACCTAAACTAGTCATTCCTTTCAAAACAAAAGAAACCATTAAGGGAGCTGGGAGCATAGCTCAGAGGCACAACACTTGTCTAGCATGTGCAAGATACTGGGTTCTTGACCCCCAAGTGTCACCAAAACACAGTGCCTCTGGCTCAGCCCTATGGGGAGTTTGTTTTTGAAAGTCTCTGGTTCTACTTGCCCAACCTTGAAGAAGGGCCTATTCCTTCTTCATGTAGGAACTGATTACTGAGGTGGAACAACAGACTGAACACTGTCAGGTTGTTGATGTGGGGGTTTGGGGAGGATATCAGTGCAGAGGGATGGTCAGGGCACAGAGGGGTTTATTAGATTCAAGGGACCAAGCCTTGGTGCTCCCAGGGCATTCTCACAAGTTCTGACTAAAGTACCCAACCCTGCAGCAAGATTTGGCTTTGGATTACAGCAAAGTGAGACCTCAACCAATGTACCGCAGTTGGGGAGTGCAGAAAGGTGCCCCCAGAACTTTGAGCTACATATACATTGTAACATACTCTTGGCTGGAGCCACCCCCCACCCCCCTCAGCACACTTACTCATTCCTGCCAGTTGGGATGAGAGGTTGTTGGTAGCTGCGGAGTCAGGACCCATATCAATCAAGTCAGCAGCTGGCTCAGCTTCACTGGAGACCTGAGATGAACAGAAATGCCTGTGGTCTGCCTCCAGGCCTTGACACCTCTGATGGGAGCTGGGGATCTTCTTCCCCTCCACAGGGGCTCCTACTCGGCTGTGCCCCAGGAGGCTGGGAAGGCCCCAAGGTACCAGCTGGTGGTGGCAAAGGCTTATTTCCCTTAAAGGGGCAGTGGTATATATATATAAGAAGTCAGCAGAAACTTCCCCATGAGCCTAAAAAGCACCAATACCCTGTACAGGGCTTCAGGGAGAGGGTGAGAAGTTCCTTCTCACTTCCTATCAATATAGCACGACCCGGTCCCAGAAGAGATGTCTCTTACCTTGCCAGTCTGGCCTGTTCGGAACCGTTCAAACCTACAAAACAGAAAAGACCCAGTCAAAAGGTCAAATTGACACAGTCCCCAGACGATCCCCAGGAGTTTTTGAAATCACAGGTCACTACCAGGGTAATGATATACTGGTCCTCCCTAACATATCCAGTGTATACTTGCTGTTCCCACATCACCACTAGTAGAGCTCCTTTTTCACTTGCACAAGGGTTGGAAGTTATACTATCAGTTATAGGGCCACCCTGTAATAGTCATCAAGAAACAAGTGACAAGAACACAGAGAAAAGAAAGGGACATTCAGCAAGTAGAGGTGAGTGCTGCTTTGTCAAACTGTCTTAGTTACCTGCTCTACACTTAGGGATGTGTGGGTAGCTCTCCAAGGTGGCCACTTGTCTCTAACCCTGATCACCAAGGGGCTGAGGAGGTGGATGAAGAAGACCTTAGTGTGCATCCTGTTGGAGCTGTGGCCTGGTGTAAAGGACATCACTTCTGAATTCATCTTCTGATCCTAATGTCTCTGGGTACCTGCCTGCAAGCTGAGGTGATGACTTAGTTGAGAAACTGAGTAGCAGTGGCTGGCACTGGAACAAACTTTTGAATTAGGAGCCTGATGCTAGGGTATTGAGGGGTCTACCACACAATGTACCTCAAGACAGCAAGGAGGAGATCCTGCATACTACTAGGTTAATGAGAAGGTGGCCAGTTGTTGCCCTCAGGGTGCCCAGCCCCTCTCAACTGATTGCAAACCACATAGCAAGTGGAGAAAGAGGCCCACCAAAATCGGAGATAGGTAGATAATAAACCTTGTTCTCAGGTGAGAAGAGGGCTTTGATGTCTGCTTTTACCCCTCCTTACTACCCAAAGTATCTCAGTGATGGGCATGGAGCTAGAGGCATATGCCCCTGGTAGCCTGCTGGTGCCTGAAGAAGGCACAGGGAAAACATATGTGGAGAAGCCAAGGCCAGGGCCCAGGGTGGGGTGGGACTACCGTTCATGGCGCAGAAACACATTGTTGAGGTTGTCATTGACCATGAGCAGCTCCTCAGTCAGTTGCTCATTGGAAATGCGTGGGATGAGCTCCAGGACCCGCTGCTGCATGGCACGGCAGGTGCGGTTGAGTTCCTGCCAGAAGAAGTGGGACATTCAGGCCACATGGTAGGACAAGGCTATATATCCCTCATGGATGCTACTTCAGTCCGGGCTTGTCCTGGAGGAAGGATCTTCAAGGCACCACAGAACAGCTTTTGGGGTCTTGAAAACCTGTTTTCACGATCACTTCTCAGGTGTAATTACGTTCTTTAATTATGAGATGGGGCCTTACCATGTTGCCTAGGCTGCTTGCTGGTCTGGAGCTCCTGGCCTCAAGTGGTCCACAGCTTCTGGAGTAGCTGGGACTGCCAGGCTTCACACTAACATGCAAATCACAGGAACTCACCATGTTAATGATTCTGCTGGCTTAATGGGACTGTGTGCAGACTGAAGAGTCAGGTTTCTGCCACCATATTTGTTTCCTTAAAAAAATCTCAGACTCTGGATCAACGAGTCTGGCATATGTGTGAAGTGGCACAACAAGAGAGACTGCCTCAGACAGTGGAAGGAAGGGCCCAGCTCTTTCAGGCTGCTCTCTGACTTCCATATACATGTATTCTATGTCCTCACTCTTACAGACATCATGCACACATGCTTGCTAAGGGGAAAAACAAAGGAGGGTGGAAGGGTGACAGTGACAGGCCAGAGAATGGGAACAAGCTGTAACTTTTCTGACTGTTACCCCCATATATCCTGATTTTGAGTTTTTGCCTATTTTCATTGGCTGACTTTTATTTTCCTTTGGATAAATCTATTTTGGGATATTTTTTCAAATTTATTGAAGAACTGCAATGATAGCACAGAGTTCCTATGAGCCTTCACCCAGTTTGACATTTATCTAAACTAAGACATCAACATTGGTTAAACTATGTGTTCATGTTTTATCACTTTCTGCTAATATCTTTTTGTTTTTTTGTTTCTGGATCCTACACTGTATTTAGTCATCATGTTACTGACTGGCTTTTAATCACAGTTAAACTTGTTTTGGAAAAAGAAAAATACTAAGAGGCTGGATGTGGTGCTATGAACCTGTAACCCTAGCAGTCAGAGGTTGAGGAAGGGGGATGGAGATGCTCAAGACTTAGCTGCATGAGACCTTGACTCAAAAATAAATAAAACAGGGCTGGAGAGATGGCTCAGAGGTTAAGAGCACCGACTGCTCTTTCAGAGGCCCTGAGTTCAAATCCCAGAAACCACATGGTGGTTCACAACCATCTATCATGAGATCTGGTGTCTTCTTTTGGAATTCTGGGATACATGCAGACAGAACACTGTATATGTAATAAAATAAGTAAATAATTTTATAAAAAAAATAAATAAAGCCTCCTTTGCTCTATAGGCAACTGGTAAGACTGGTCACTTCTTACCTGTCACACCTGGCCATGGACCATGGCCACATGCCAGTATACTTACTCTTGTGGGGATCAAAGATAAGGCTCTGCAACAATCTTTGGTTTCCTTCGGACCTTGTTCTTCACCCACTCCAGAACAGGCCTCCTAGAGTTTCATCTGCTCAGGGTGACTTTAAATATCCCTAGGCCCCCCTTCTTTTCCTCCCATGATGACACACACCTGAGGATTAGGTTCTGCTTCCTAATGGGCCTCTCTGAACAGCATGAAGCTATTGCTCCAAGTCATAAATCTCAGTTTTGCTACCTACCAGCCACATGACCCTAGGCATGTTACATGACCTCCCTTTACCTGATCTGGAAAATGGGTATGGTCAGAGCTATGAGTGAATGTATATCAAGTACCTACATTGAGCTTGACACATGCAGAGTGCGCATCTTGTGGGTACTGCCTCTGTGTCACCTTGCCAGCTGGCTCCAACCTTCGGAGTAACCCAGACTCATATCTACATGGACTTGGCTTGGGACAAATGAAACAATTAACAATCCTTAGTCGACTCCCTTTCTTCATCTAGTTCTCACACTCAAGAGTCCACTCAGCTAAGATACTCCTACCTTAGCCTGCCTCTCCCCCAACAAGTATCTGGACCTCTGAGCAGTCACAGGGGCATAAAGTTCTGACCTCAAACTGCTCTCTGAGGGCTGGTAGGAGAGTCATGCATGAACAGCACCCTGAGTACTCTGTACATAAAACATCCTGTCCCTCCATGCATTCTGAAGACTCCTAAGCTTTGGTGGTTCCTAACTTTCTTATTGCCTCCTTGAATGTCCCTCCACAGGAAGGCTGCCTGGCCCCCTTCACTCTAGTACCCCACCCCCTATGAGGACAGGATTAGGTGAATATTATATGACACACAGGAGCAAAATCCAGCATCTCCCACCTGCCTCAGCTCCCCAAGACCAGACACTCACTCTTCTCAGAGCCCACATTGCTCTCTCCTACTTACTCCCTCAAATACTGTAAAAGGTAGAAATCAGTCCTTCCAGACTTTCCTGGTGCTGGTCATGCTATCAGTACTGGGTACAGGACTAGATGTTTCACATGTACTACCTCATTTAATTCTCATGTCCCACTTGTATCAAAACAGTCACATAGATGGAGAAAATGAGGGGCTACTTTGTTCGGGCTGGAAAGCAGAAGAATTAAGATCTGAATTGCAATCTGATGCAAATCCAAGGTTCCTCTTTATAAAATTTTTATTGCCTCAGAGCTTCCAGCAAAAACAAAAGACTGCAGTGTGGGCAGGGAAGAACAGGTGTGGATGCTGGGGTCAGCTGGGTAGGGGCTGAACCTGTAGGCAGGCTGTTTGCTCACCTGTAGTAGTTCCAGGTCTGCAGGCTCTATCTGGGTGGGCACCAGCTCTGTCAGCATCTCTGACATCACTCGCACATTGCCACTCACCATCTCCAGCTCACTGTGCAGCTTTCCAATCTGAAATGCACATAGTAAGGGGAGAGAAGCCAGAGTCTAGAGCCCATGCTACTCCCACAGATATGTGGCCCAAGAACTGCGTCACCAACACTTTCTCTGCACAACTTCTCTCCTGACTTCTGGGGATGGTCTGTACTCAAGAGCCTGCAGAGGGTGCAACCCACCACACAGCCCCCTCATAGAGTTGCTACCAACCGCTGCCATCTCCAATCCAGGAGCCAGGTGCAGGAGGAAGGCTGAAGGAAGTATGACAGTCAAGGGAAAGAAGCCAGTGAATGTGGTTGGAAGAACACTAGCATCTCTTGGGACAAGATGGTAATTAATGAGGCCTTAGGGAATGGCAGTTCTCCCAAGGGAGTAGGAAGATAATAGGCCCCTTATGTCTGAGATGACAGAGTGGGCTCTAAGTCTTTCACTCCCTTAAGAGAACTAGGATTCTGTCTTGTCTCAGTCCATTTTTGGGCTCAGGCTCACCCAAAAATAAATTCCAGGTCTCATTGAACATGAAACTCAGACCTAGTACTTGTACCAGTGGTCAAAGGGAACCAAGGTCCCAGGCCTGAGGAATATGTAACAATGAATGTGGTCAGTGTCCTCAAACAGATTAGGTTGTGAAGGTCACTGTGTAGTGTCTTTTGTGAACCCCAAGGGACTTTATATGCTCATGGACACCATGTCTATTTTGAATGTCGAGAATCATATGAAGGCTCCCCCAAATGCATCTGGATCAAAAACTCCCTTATAATGGGATGGCTCATCAGTCTAGCGGCTAGGAGACTACATTTTGGGAACTACTAGTATATTCTAAATTGTGTGACTGAGTGACAATTTCATGATTATGAAAGAAGCTACCATTTACTTACTAGTTAATAAGTGCTAAGTACTGAACACATATTATCACAAGTAGGTACAGTCACCTTCAAGGATCTTGAGGATGAAGAAACAGGCACACACAGGCAAGTACCTGTCCACTGAAGTTGACCAACAGCACACCCCACAGTGTCAGGCAGAATGACTCATTTAATAACCCTCTTGGTATGAGTGGACAAGCTGCTCTTCACCAACTTGCCACATCCAAACCCAAAGGGATCTAACTACAAAGGAGCCTAGGAGTTACATCACCACACTGCAACAGCTTAACATGCCCCAAGAGGCAAAAGGGGTTATGAACTCAAATGAAAATACTCAGTTTTGTTTAGCAAGAATCTTCCAGCCCTAAGTAATCAATCATTCTTAACACACAGACATTAGAAAAACTAGTTAAAACCAGAAGCAAGGTAGATAATAGTTTTGGATATCAGGGTAATTTTACAGTTTTGTAGGCTTTAATTACTGGTTTAGCATGCCAGCCTTCTCTAGTCATGTCTGCTGTGGTACAAGGTTTCATAACAAGATAGCATGGGAGCTTCTCTTTGTGGGGCTGTACACATGGTCAGGAGGCAGTTCTTTGGAATGAAGCTTCTGTTATCTGCATAATGTTTGTGACCCTTTACCTCCAGCACACTAGCAGCTAAGTGAAGTGCACTTTATTGATGATGGTCTAAGGTCTGTGAAGACCTCAAGTGCAGCCCAGTACCACATCCCAAGTGACCGATGATCTAGATCACAGCTACCTGGTCTGGGGCAGGTAACCCTCTAGAAATAGCCACAGGCTAGGGAGATGTCCCCAGAATCTCATGCTAGGCCTCCAAGCTTCTTCATGAGGTATGTGGGAAACCTCAGTGTAATACATATGCATTTTCTCTTTTTGTGTAGTTCTCTCTCTCTCCTTCTCCCACCCTCTTTTGAGACAGGGTTTTGCTATGAAGCTCTGAACTCACACAGATCCACCTACCTCTGCTGTGGGATAGTCTTTCTGTACGCTGTGTAAATATGTATTCCTCTCATTGGTTAATAATAAAGCTGAATTGGCCTATAGCCAGGCAGAATAAGGCTAGGCGGGAACACCAAATGAAGATACAGGAAGAAAGGGCAGAGTCTGGAGAGATGCTAGAGCAGAGTTAAAGCCACGAGGCATGTGGCAATACACAGATTACTAGAAATGGGTTAATTTAAATGTAAGAGCTAATTAGTAATAAGCCCAAGTTATTCGGTCAAGCATTTCATAATAAATATTGAGACTATTTTGGACCAGGCAATCAGGACAAAAGAAAAACTACACCTCTGTTTACATACCTCTACCTCCCAAGTGCTGGGATTGAAGGTGTGCCAACAACCCCAGCAAGCATATAGATCCTATCCTTTAAGGTTGTCCTCTATTAGAATTTCAATTCAGATGAAATTCTATCTCACCTATTACCACAAAAATAAAATGGAGTGGTCGAGTGGAAGGGGTGGCCTGCCTAGTGGCCCTTGCCTCTCCTTGGTGCTGCTATGGAAGAAGAGTTTGGAAAATAACAGCAGTCGAGGACTCAGACAGACTGGGAGCTGAACCCCAGCTGATTCTGATGAGCTGTATGCTTCTGAGTGAATGGACTTTGCTATCTGAACCTTGCCCTGAATGTGAAGTAATAGCACACATCTGTGGGCTGCTGGAAAGACAAAGGAATTTCCAGAGCTAGGGTCCATGTCTGACACCTTTCTGGCTCTGCCACAGGTTTGTCTGTTTACCTGCTCAGGAGTTGGTGTGATGGGTGAGTCACCTGGAAGGACAGCTGGAGTGGGCAGAGGGGTGGCATGCTGGCTCAGGTCTCCTTGCTGACTGGTGTCAGAGCCCACAGAGTTCTGTCCAGATGCTGTCTCTGAGCTGAACACAGTCTAGGGGGCAAGAGACAGGGTAAGTGAGACCTTCTGGAAAGGCACTATGGGCCCCTCAGGATAATGCCTGGCCCCCTCCAAGTTCTCCTCACCCTCTGGGGTGTGTGGATGGGTGATAGCATGTCCAGGTCAGTCATGGGGAACTCCAGGCCCTTCCTTCGCAGGTCCTCGTAGACAGCAACAACACCTGTCAAATCAGGCGAGCTGCGGAACGCGTCAGCCCAGGACTGAGAGGGGACAAGGGGACATGGCCGGTGACCACTGCTCACCTTCCTTTCTATGAGCCTGCCCTGCCTTGGCACCTAGAGGACAAAAGTGCTTCCCCTCTTCTTCTTCCTTCTGCCCAGTCCTCTAACACTGTGCACCAAGCTCAATAGACAGTGATAAGTTCTGATACACATATAAGCAGGCTGCTAGCATACAGAGAACAGTCCCAGCCTTCCAGACCCCTTGAGGTCACTAAGCCACCCCGCCCTGTCAAAGTACGCACCTGGATGAGGTTCAACACCTTGTCATGCACGATAGTAGGTGGATTGTTCTTCGGCAAGATGGTCCTCACCAACACACTCTCGACGAAGTCCTGGGTAGCCACCAGTACATGGAAGCGGTGCCCACAGTTCTTAACACACGTTTCCAAGACCTGTAGGTCAAGGTGCCCAAGAGGAGGGGAAATGGGCTACTACTCCATGAGGCTCCCCTTCTAACAGAGGGAAGCTGAGCAGAGGAGAGGAGGCTTCTAGAAGGGCTCTCCTAAGACATGGGGATGGGAGCAGTGCTAGATTTGGGGGCTTGCCTCCTAAGGGACTGGGGCATACAGAATGATGAGACAGATAGGACTCCCTTCCTACTAGACTAGGGCCTGCTGTATCATAACCCTACTTTCTAGATCACATAGTCTAGAGCAGTGGTTCTCAACTTCCTAATGCTATAACATTTGTTTTATGTTCACTTCTCAGGGAGGAGTTTTAGAGGGACATGTCCCCAGTGTGTCTATTCCCAATGCTAAGGCTAGGGACTTCTTTCCAGTCCCCTTGCTTTGTCATCCACCAGCAGTATGGATGGGAAAACAGTTTCCCCATGGCACATTTCTTCCTTGTCCACAAATGAGAAACCCAAGCATGGATGGGAGTCCCACTGGGGCTAACTAGGGAGAGGCAGCTGTCAGCAGACCATGGTCCAGACTCACCGTGAGGGCCAGCATGACCTCATGGAAATTCTTATTTCCTACGATTCGCTTCTTTACTGCTCGGAAGGCATCTTTGGGACTGGCAAAAATGACAAAAAAAAAAAAAAAAAAAAAAAAAAAAAAAAAGATGGGCTTAGGCATAGATCCCTCTTCCCCAGCACAATAGGCTAAGGGCCTAAGCTCAGAGGCTCTGCAAAGCTGGAAGGCTGGGTAGGATCTTCCTTCTTCCCTGTTCCTGAACTGTGTACTCAGGTTTTGGTTACAGTAGGTAGATCCTGGGCCTATCATCACAGACTCATGTTGGACAAGGTGTGAGTACTTGTCAAGATACAGAATGCTAGCTGAGAGTATCAGAATTCAACAAGTGAGGAAGTCCCACAACTTGCTATTTCTCATGTACCCCAGAGCTCCCAGGGCCTTCTGGGTATTGATGCTAAGAACAAATGACCACAGGTAGAATGTTCTAACACCACACCTTAGACAGTTCCACTACCCATCTTCCAGTCAAGTCTAACCAAGCACCTGTGTGTTCATGTATGTATTTGTATACATGCATGTCCATACACTACTTCCAAGGATTCAGGGACAATTGAAGGAAGAAGCAGTCTTGAGGAAGAATGGGGTGGGTCCAAAAGGCTCTCAAGGAGGTAGGCAACCCTAAAGGATGGGGAGGACAAGTGAGAGGACAGCCAGAGAGAGTGAGTTAAGGTACAGGGAGAGCTTAGGCCAGGGTTTGGTGGGGAGAATCTGCTTTGGAAGGACAGAGAGGAGACAGTATAGAGGAAGTGGAGCTTCAGGAGCCTGATGTACCTACATACTGCAGGTAGCCACAGAGAGCCTTGTGTGTGTGGGTTCCTGTCCTCCCTGTCCCACCTGCTGACTACTCTGCTTCTAACATCGCCAGAGCTGCTCTGCTCTGAGGCCTTTGTTGGAGCCTGCCCATGTTCCAAACCCAAGGGACGGCCTAGTGATCCATGAAGCTTCCAAGGGCTTTCCCCTCCAGTGTGACCTGTCATGGGACACTAACCTATCCAGGCAGATAAGACAACTCCTAGGGAGCAGGTGGACAGTATACTTTAAACACTGTCTTTCAGCAGAGCTGGCCCACTGCAGGTGCCCAGGCAGAGGGGCTTTGAAGGGTATTCTGACTCTGCCTGTCTGTCAGTGCTGACCTCAGCAGAAGTGAAGGCAGAGGCCTCCAGGATGCATCTCACATGGAGGCAAAGCTGCGCTGTGGTCAGCGCTACAGGGCAGGTACAGGAGCCTGTGCAGACGGGTGAGAACCCATACTCAGAACTTCGGACAGTTCCCTGCCTTTCCCTGGCCAGTTTGAGGGGCAGCCGGCTTCAGTCCTTGGTGTCAGCACTGCTATACTGTTTGGATCCTGTGTCCCCCAGTGGCCCACGTGTTTTAAAAAGCTTTCATGCTCACGGTGCTGCTGTTGAGACACTACAGACACTTTGCAGATGGGCCCAGGCTGGGGGAATAGCTCAGTGGCAGTGCTTGTCTAGCATGTGCAAAGACCTGGGTTCCATCCCAAGTGTAAGTGTGGTAGATAAATGGGAGTGGGAGTGGTGATGTGGTAGAACCTGCTGGGTGATCTTTTTGTCATCACAGATATGACTTTAAAAGCACCATGGAACCCTGGTCCCTGTCTCTCTTGTTTTGTTCCCTGGCTATAAGGTGTGTGGTTGTATACAGCTCATCGCACACTAATGATGTGCAACATCAAGGCTGTGAGGCAAAATAAAAACTTCTGCTTCAGCTCCATAGTGAATTTGAGGCCAGTGAGACCCTGTCTCAAAAAACAAACAAACAAAAATCAATCCAAAACAAAACAAAATTGAGATAAAATTTTTCTCTTTATAAACAAATCATCTCAAGGACATTGTTATAGTTATGAAAAACTGACACAGTTGCTAACCTGTGGACCACTTCAGTTCTTCAAAAAGGTACTTATTCTTTTTTTTTTTTTTTTTTTTTTTTTTTTTTTTACTTTTTTGGTTTTTCGAGACAAGGTTTCTCTGTGGTTTTGGAGGCTGTCCTGGAACTAGTTCTTGTAGACCAGGCTGGTCTCGGACCCAGAGATCTGCCTGCCTCGGCCTCTCAAATGCTGGGATTAAAGGTGTGCACCACCACTGCCAGGCTAAGATACTTATTCTTACTGATGGAGTATCCTGGAGAAAAGGAGACAACACTGGCAGTGGACCATGTATGAACAATGACAGAAAAAAAAAAAATGCATGGCAATGGTATGATTCCACCAAAGATGCAAAAGTTTAGATAAGATTGGTGAGGTCAAGAGTCATGCCTGTCATTGCCTACTGCTGGCTCCTCGATGCCCTGTGCATATTTAAAGTGCTCAAATAACCTTTGGCATAGTCAATAAGCTCTGAATACAGTGCTTCCCAAGTTTCCCACAGAGATGGGAACACTGTCTGTAAAGATACTGTAGTGACTCACAGCACACCACCATAAAGCTGCCAGGGCTTTCCAGAGGCTCAGTAGGCATGTCTGCCTCCTCTTCTCTTCCCTTTGGTCTTGACATCTACCCACTTGCACCCCACCCTTATTATGAGTCTAGATGCAGATCTGCGAGTGAGCCACACAGTACAACTGAGGTCTCCCTGCAGTTCCCACTGTACTCCCTGCCTCCTGTTGCTTCGTGTCAGTGTGCACCTGACTGGGAAAATGTTCTGATTTACCATAGCAGAGGCCTCATCTGGCTGCACTCCCTGCCTGCCATGGCTACTCACATTCTACCTCATCCTACTTTGTGGTCCACTCAAGGACTTATACTAGACTTTTGGCAGGATTTAACAGAGTCTGCCTTTGAGGGAAAAGTCCTGGAGAGGTAATGTAACTTGTCCATGGTCCCATCACACAGTTGGCTTGCATGCATTAGGCAGAGGGAGACAGGACTCCAACACCTCTCCTACAGAATGCTGCCTGAGCTCAGCATTCTAAGCAAACATCATGTCCCCTTAGCTATCTGCCCATAGACAGCACTGCTCCACAGCTCTGCTCTGCTTCACTGACCACCCTCTGCGCACTCTTGGGCAGCCCTGCTGGTTTCTAGTCTTAGGGAAGAGAAAATCTGGCTATCCTAGGATTCCAGTTCTCAGCATGCAGAAAGGAACTGTGAATTTCCAGCTGGCTTTGTGATGCACCTAAGGGCCAACTGACCATATACCATGTCTTTATTTTTTTGTTATGAGACAGGGTTTCTCTGTGTAGCCTCGCTGTCCTGGGACTCATTCTATAGACAAAACTGGCCTTGGACTCAGAGATCTGCTTGCCTCTGCCTCCTGAGTAGTGGGATTAAAATTGTGGGTCCCCACCACTTGGCTTACACTGTGTCTTTGAACATTTCTGAGTTTATATTCCACCTGATAAAGGCACTGGACTAGACCATGGCCCAAAGATGTTTATAATGTCATGCTATTGTCTAGGATGGGGTCAGTGTACTGCAGGGTTAATCTTTGCAACTACAACAGTGGGGGGCTAGGGAGAAATATCTGGTGGGACACAGGTATGAATCAGTGCTGGTGTGTACTGTTACAGTTAGGTGTCACAGCCTGTACCACCTCCCACATTCCTCCTCCGCAGGGACCTTACCCTTCCTCAGTCTCATTGATGATGTCACAGATCTCCATGTTGAGGGCCCAGTCCTCGCTCTGTAAGGAGCCATCTGTAGCTTTCTCTGTGAAGAAAGAAGAAACTGTGAGTCACAAAGGAATGGGGACTCTTAAATGGGCAGACTCAAAGAGTACAGAAGGGAATAGACAAGGCCGAAGATCATAAGTGTTTTCTGGTCACCCAGGGACATGCTGCCCCAACTGGATTGTACCAGCCATGGGAGGCCAGAAATATCTTTGCTTGTTCATAAATAAGGAAACTATGGCTCAGAGTCACAAGTGGATAGCAGGGGCCAAAAACTGAGGCAGGCCTGGCCTCAGAGGGCTTATTTGTAAAAGGGCAAGCAGAGATTTTATTTGTGTAGGTAATATGCTCCTCTTATTTATTTATGTAGGTAATTTATTTGTGTAGCCAATGTTCATATGGCACTTTCTCAGAATGGCTGTACAGTGAATGCTGGCTGGGGTATCATGCATGACAGGCAACTGTTCTACCACTGCAATTCTTTCATTTAAATTAACACAAAAGTCATATCACATAAAATAACACCTTCAGTTGTGTAATCAGCTGGTACAGTCATAATGCTGTGTAACCACTTCCACCTCTCATAGTATTTTCATACTAGGCTGATCCTTAAGGTGGGATCTCTGAGCCAGGAACCAGGTACCAAGTTCTCAAGGCTTGTAAATGGGTAGGTGAGCTTGGTGGCATGCATGTACAATCCCAGGACTTGGGAGGCAGAGGCAAGAAGAGTGAGTGTTCACAGCAAGTCCAAAGCCAAACTAGGCTACATAATAAAAGACCCCATCTCAAAGAGCATCAATGGGTGTTAAGTGAATGATGAATCCAGACAATGTGAGGACCTTCACCAACCCTCCACGCACACACACTACCAGGTCTATTATTCATACACAATACTCACACTTTGTTTCACCTCCTGTCATGCCCAGACTGGCATAGCAGATGTGTTTTTACCATGTGTAAGCTGTGGGACAGGCTAATACTCAATATTCAGAAGGTGAGAATCCTTGGTGTCTGCCCAAATTCCCCTCCTCCTTAGTTGTCATGCTGTCTGCTCTGGCTTTCAGATGCTGGCTGTAAATGTGGTATACTCACATACCCGTTGCTGATCAGCCAGTTTGGCAGGTAGTGTCACTTGTCTCACAAGGAAGACAGTCTTTATTGTTGGGTGGTGCTGACAGCTTAACATTGCATAGTTATTTGTAAGCCAGGCCCATTCCAGGCATCAAGATGCCTGTTTGACAGAAAGGTACAGTTCTCGCCCCATGGTATCCAGAACAGGCCCCAACACCACTCTCAACAGGACAAGGAGAAGATGAGGGTGATCTCCACATGATTGAGTGGGGGCTCTGCCTTTTCCAATCTGTAGCAATGCTCCTGCTGGGCTGGGCAGGCAGCTTTCAATTTTACTCATGGTTCCTGCAGACAGACAGATGTGTGGCCCAAACATGACAGGAAGTTGAGATAGAAGGGCAGTTGCTTTGTCTCTGGTTTCTGGCCAGGGGAAGAGTTCAGGAAAATATTCCTTTAGAAGGCTGGAAGACAAGGCCATTCTTTCCACAAATACCTACTGAGTGTGGCTTCTGTGCTCACTTCTCATCTTGAGGCCAAGTGTCCTCTTGAGCAGGTTATGATTTGCTACAGAGTACCTGGGGGCAGGGGCTGCTTAAACATAAAAGCGTGTTCCTCTTTCAAAAGGAACAGGTATTGCCTTGACCTCAGTTCTATGTCTAATAGTCACAGCACCCTGCCAATTCCACCTCTCAAGCCTGCATTGTGCCCATTCTCTTCTCTTTCCCTCCCCATGTCTACATGTCCCGTGAAAATGACCGTGTCTTTCCTGTGCCTCACATCCTTCCAGGGTTCCCTACTCTTGACTACAAACCCTTCTGTAATAACCTCTTGAGCTATATATTACATAATCATCAGTGTAATTAGCTAGTTACATAAAACACCAGACTTAATTGTCATCCCATGAGTTGTACACTACTATCTCATTTCACTGGTGAGGAAACCAAGACAGAGGGGTCAGCATGGTAAAACAGTCACCCAGGCTGGCCACAGAGGTGCTCCCTTTCAATCTCAGCACTTGAGAGGCAGAGGCAGGCTGATCTCTGAGTTGGAGGTCAGCCTGGTCAAACACAGCAAGGCCATCCAGAGCCACATAGTCAGATCTATCTCAAAACAACAACACTAACCACCCCCCCAAACAAAACAAAACAAAAAACTCAGAACAAAACAAAACACCAGCCATTCTATGGTGAAGGGTGGCTGAAGAAAACAAAAACAAAACTCTAGTCATCCTATGGTGAAGCTGGCTGGTCTTTTGCCTGCCTTGCTGCCTGGCTCTCCCTGGGGTCAGGGCACTCCACAGCCTCCCCTCTATCCTCCCTAACCCCAGTACTCTTGTTACTGCTGCTGCTGGCCACCAGCACACCCTGGTAACTGAGCACCTTCTTGTCCTGGGGAAAAGGGACATAGCCCTTTGGGAAGGCCAGGGGCTGGGCAGAGAAAGCTGGGAACTCCCAAGTGGGGCTGAAACTGTCTAATTAGTGTGGCAAGGGTGTCATAAGATGAAAACCTGGGTGAGAAGCAGAGTGGAAGAGGACTGTGACCTTAAAAGGAGGGGAGAAAAAGAGGAGGAAGTGGCAAAGGTAGGAAGGTCATCTGAGCAGCTTAGGTGGGAGTTGGCTGTCGAGAGGCTGATGGATCTGCACATACCACTGCTCCCCAATCCAAGTTACTTGGGGACTGAGGCTACAGAATCCTGCACTGGACTCCCTTCTGACATGCCCTGAGGAGAGTATGGGGGTTGAGAATAGTGGTGTCATGGTTTAACCATAGAAGTAACTTGCTATTTTTAATTTTTATTTTATTTTCAAGACAGGGTTTCTTTGTCCTAGAACTAGCATGTAGACCAAGCTGGCCTTGAACTTACAGGGATCCACCTGGCGCTGCCTCCCAAGTACTGGCTGTACACCACCACTGCCCGGAATAACTTGGTATTTTAAGAAGCAAATGAAAACCCTAACTTGGTTACTGGCTTCCCAGACCACAATAATTGACTCTTCCACCTCTGTCTGCTGGCAGTGACTTTCAAGGGTTACTGGGCCATGGCTCTTGTCTCCCAGCTCCTGCAAGTCTCTGGTGTCATTAAGGGCTAGTTAATGCTTAGGGATGGCAGTCCTGTGGCCAGCAGGTTGATCTGTGTTAGGCCTGTTTTAGGTATGTTCTGCCAGAGGGCCCCTGGCTTTTGTCTGGCACAAAGGCAACACTCTTCCCTTTATAGTGACTTGACCTGGGCAGTGGCCTGGGCATGCTGGCCATATCTCCTAACTCAAACATATTCATCTGTGGGTCGAAATGAGAAAGTTCATGTCTACATATATCAGATCAGGTTGAGCATGCCTGCTTCACAGCAGTGTGGCTTCTCAACCAGTCAATTGTCTCACATCAGGTGAAGGCTCTGATGATCATCCAGGTCTGACTGCAACTTGGGCCAAAGGGAAGGAATGAGCCACAGCCAAAGGTCATGCACTTGGCTTTGCTTCAGACAGTTGCTAAGTTCCTGCCCCTGCCCCTCACTGTTCATCTTCAGTGGTGGCATACAATCCCTGGCAGCAGTTATCCTCATGGTCCCAGAGGAGCCCTGCTCTGCTGTCCTATGGCACCATTCTGTAGGTGCTCAGTAGAATTATAGATAGCATTATAGTTATGGCCTTCCTGTTGCCACATCAGCTGTCTCCTCACAATGCACAGACCAGAAGCTGCCATGACACGGCTAGCTCTGGACCAGATGCCATCACTTGCCCAGGCCTGAACTGTCACCCCCATGTCCTTCTCCTTTAATGAAATTCTAACCAGTACTCTTTCTGTTTAAAACTATCTACAGCCTTGTACCAAGGATCATAATCCAAACTCTTCAGAGAGTGAGAGGAACTGAGACCTAGCTTCAGAACCCTTTTTCTTTCATATTCCTGGGTGCTGCCTGGAAGGCCATCCTTCATGCAGTCAGACAGCCAGTTCTCACACACACACACACACACACACACACACACACACACACACACACACACACACACACACACACTGCACCAAACATAGAACTGAGAATGTCCTGCACACAATGACATTCATTACCCTCAAAAGAGGCTAGAACTGGGGGAACACAGAGAGCTGTAACTTGTCCACAGCCACAGGGTTTATAAGTTGTAAAGCAGAGATTCACATTACAAAAGGTCTGCTTCTCAAACCCACTCACTCTTATTTAGAGAAATAATTTTGCTTTATCAATACCCTGGCTGACCTGAAACTTCCTCTGTAAACAAGGCTTGGACTTGACTTACTATGTAGACAGTACTGGCTTGGAACTTCTGTATAGACAAGGCTGGCTTTGGACTTACTGTATAGATGTTGGTCTGGAACTTACTGCGTAAATGGGCTGCTTGGTGCTTCTTACTCTGGAGGCAGGGCTGCCTGGGACTTGTATTGATCCTCCTGTCCTTGCTTCCTACCTGGATTGAAGGCTCAAATAGACCTGTAAGCACTGTTACATGTCTCCCAAATGCCTGGAAACATGTCTAGGTTCTGGGGAGATATTGGTGAGCAAGGCTACCAAGGTCCTGCCATCAGCCAACATGCAGGCCAAAGGAGGTTATGGTGGATAATGCAGAAAGGGAGGCTGAGTCAGCAGAAGAGGAAATGAGTCTGCTACTCCATACCCCACCCTTACTCCACCCACACCCACCCTTACCCCCATCTCCTCAGCTAGCCTCCTCCAGTACCACGAGATCAGAAAACAGGGGTCAAATGACCAGCACTCATGGAGCAAGTATCTATACATGAGCTCCATGACCCTCCTTTGTTGTCACCTTGGTTGGTGTGTCAGCCAATGCTGAAGACAGGCAAAGCCTGCTTGCTTGAACTACCCCAGAGTGCTGGCTACCTTACTCTGTCCCCTGAAGGCTACCATGATTTGCCTTGCTCATGATTCTCCCAGACCCACACTCTGGATAACAGAGAGGAGAGGGTCTTTATGTGTTT